GCCACCCTAACCCATTCCCCATCCCAAGTTACGCTCGGACCAAAACAGCGAGATCTCGCGACTTCCACTCATAGCCAAATAGTCCGATTCAAATCACGATTAAAAAAAAAACTCCCATAGTACTCCTTGTCTCATTTCTTGTAACTTATAAGTCATTGTTTGTCGGTGGCCCATGTGGTTGTGGGGAGCTGTACGCCTGTACCTAAATAAAACATCACAAACTGAACTCAACTGTGATAAGTTATCAGTTTTTGTCATTCCAACCTCCTAGTCCTAACTTAACCCAATGGTCTTATCACACCCACCCATCTGTCTCTGTGATGGATGGTCCTAAAAGTCAAATGTCTTATTCCCATTAATTAATGTTGTTATTTCGTTCCTCTCGGTCTCGGTTAGCCGAGCTCCCTTTTCTTACTAAAAAATAACTTTATCCAGGCTAGGTTGTATTTTGTTGAAATTATTATGGATGTCCAGCAAGGTTGTCAACCCGTGGCTTGACAACAGACCCAGTCGAGCTAGTGGGTTAAGGGTTAACGGGTCATCCGATATAGCTTGTTTTAGCTCGGAAATACGGAAATAGTCATTATATTGTATTTATTCTGATAAATTATATCTGTCGTACTTAGATCCAACATATAGTGAAAATTCACACACACTTATATAACATCAATATTCAAATGTTCAGCTAAGGATTTCAAAGATTGAGTTAGGCGAAAAGAAAAATCGGAAAATAGGTGCATTTCGCAAACCAAAGAAAAAATGACACAATTTGACCTCCAACCCGATACCTTGTAGCGGTCGACCCGACGGGTGCGTGCGGTCCGTTTTTCTAAGCGGATTAGGGTCAAAATGGGTCGAACCGAGGATCGACAACCTTGATGTCCAGCAAGAGCGAGAGACTCCAACCTTTGGGAACATGTCCAGATTCCACTGGCGGCAGTACTGCGCTATACTACAAAAACCAGCACCGCCCCTCCCCTAATACCAAACAAAGATTAAAACAAGTAAAAGAGTAACACGCAACCATGTAAAACAAAAACAAAAAAATAGAAATTCAGTACCTCGTCACTTAGCATTACAACTTACCAAATCACACGAAAAATATCTGACTTGTCTTTTTAGTCTGCAAAATTTAAAAGTTTACTCTGAAGCATTCATAGATCAATGGGAAATTGGGGAATGGCAAATGGCAGCATTGTCGCCGCGAAACGAATATGAGGACTCATGTAATGGCGCATAATGAGAATCACTGGAACAATATTTTTTATTGATAAGTTGAAATTAAACGATGCAACTACAGCCACTGATTAATAATAGATTAGACATATTTCTATAAAAAAAATACATTTGGGGCTAGTTGTGCTACTTCATTAATTGTGAGCCCCTTCAAGCTGATCAAAACAATTATTCAAAGTTCTATATAGTACCAAAAGGCATTAATTGCATCAAATTTCGTAGGTGTTTAAATGTCATAATCATCATACATTGGAGATTTTGGATTTATTTCGTGACTATATTTGCTTAAATCTTCATACCCTAAAATTTAGCACCACTTTATCGTTTCATGGTAATTTGACTTGTAAGTTGTTCATTCTCATCATATTCTAGGCTAGGTTGTATTGTCTTTCCTAATCTCATGTCCCAACATGATAAGGAAGAGGTGTACCAAGTTCGTGCCAATCGGAAGTCGTTTGAAGGCTGAGAAGAATGAGAGAAGAAGATCCAAAGACAGGTCACGACCTGACTCACGACTGTGACCAACCCGTGGCTAGCTTCACGACTATGAACTCTCATTCCACGACCATGAACTCCATTTTGATGCGAGAGTTCGATCAAAGACAAGTACAAAAGGTTCCACGATCAACCGATGTGACTACGACAAGCTAGATACGAGATAGAGGTCTCGAGCGCGAGATAGGTTCATGGTCAAGAACTTCATAAAATTGTTCGTGAACCAAGCCCTGAGCAGTGATAACTTTCACAAAGTTCACGGGTTCGAACCTAGGCCGTGAACTTTGACCTATGCACGAGTCTACATGTACTAGGGGGATGTTTTGGGCGAGGAGAGAGCATCTTTTGAGCATTTTCAACGCCACTAGATAGGGAAAGGGTCTTTCTAACCCTGGAGGGAGATACAGTTGAAGGAGTAGCTAAGGAGGAAGATTCCCACCCTTGGATTGAGAATTTGTGAAGACTTGGAGGAGCATTTGAAGATTGAAGAGCCTCCCAAGATGAATCACTTCGTTCTTCTCTTTATTTCTTCTTTCCCACCTTTCATGGGTTAAAACGCCTTTGTACTTGGGTAAGTAGAACCCTAGGTCAAATATGTGATTGAATATGAATGAGATTGGTATGTATGAACCTAATTACTTGCTATGATTATTTGATGTTGGATTATGTCAACATCTTGCTTTAGTAAAGGTGATTGATTGCTTTGCTCTTGTCCTAAGTGAGATGATCATCCCTTTGGTTGAGATTAGAACCCGCATCAAGTAGTATGAGATTTGGATTGCATGACCATTGAGTGTCTCATTTTTCATCGGATTTGTCCCTAACTGGAGGGATCAAAGCTTAGTACGCTCTAGGTGATTTGTTGGTTACATGACCATTTAGTCAAGAAGTCCATTGAAAGTGCACCTAAGTGACCTGACCTGACCATAACCTAGGTGCAAGCTTAAGTGATTCCTTGCATAAAAAAAAGGTTAATGAAGTACATGTTGGTTCCATTTGTTCGATTACAAGCTAGAGCTAGGGGATACTCATCCCTTCAAGTACCTTATCTCTATCGAGTTAGTTTCTAACCGTAATTTGGTTTCCTTTTTGTTAAAGTGGCATATTCCACCATTCAATCGATCAGTTAAATAGTAGTAAAACCTTGAAGTACCGATAGATACATAACCCATTGAAAATACGACATCGAGAATCGCCTCTATACTGATTCAACAACATAGGGTGCAGTTGTTCTAGGTTGTAGTAGACTAGTAGGTAGTATTGTTGACACAATCGAATTTTATATCTTGATTTGAGTTTTCAACGCATCGATAAGTTGACTTGGAGCTAGACATGCCTAAATGCTAGAAGGTCATGACAAAATGGGCGTGCTTAAATCTTAATTGACAAAACTTTCACGCTTAAGCCAAAGGCAAAAGTGGGGGTGCAGCCTGCAGCAGGCGATGAAAGGTACATACAGGCTCCCAATTACTATTAGCATATTTTCCCCGAATATGCTGAGCATAAAATAGTCGGTTGTTTGAAGATTCTGGAACTTGGACATCATTGTAAGTTTTGCGCCTGCAGTCTGCAGTCTGCATCCCATGGGCAAAGCACAGCACCTAATTTGGTTGAAAGTTTAAACTAATTGGTTTCGTGTTGGCTGCTGCCTGTTTCCGTGGAACTTAAAACTGCTCTGTTTTTCTCGTCTTTTGCTACAACTCCAAAATGGACAATTATTATTATCAACACATTTATGTGGAATAAGAGGGGACCTTTGTATATTTGTATGATTGTAATATCAACAGAGGAAGTAAAAGAGTAGCCAGCTAATACATTGATCAATTCCACGGCTCTTTTTTTTTCTTCTCTTTTTTCTTATTTCAAGCTCTGGGTACTGTTTTACCCTACACCATCAAGCAAACCTACACAACATTTTTAGTATACGGTTTGTTTTTCTCCGTTATTATTCAAAATTTTCTCCATTTTCATTATTAGTAATGTTGTCCATGTTTGGAGAGTACAACTTTTTAAAATTTTGGTGTTAGTTGGACCTAATATTTGGAATTAGAGTGGAATACTTGTTATCATTCTCATAGTTTCACTTGGTCATTTCTTTGGAATTGCTCGAAGAGTATGTCCTTTCTGACCCACGTGACTCTTACACTATCCATTTCGTTCGAACATTATTGTAGTACTTGCATAATTACGTACCACATTGCAATGATAATAAAGAGCCATAAAGTTTTGTATTGTTTATCCATCAATTCTTGTATGATTTTGAATTGCCAGGCCGGATAGAAATAGAAAGTGCTACATATCTTTTGTTAAGTAAATTTGTTTTGGTTTACAAGTGTTGCAAGTGTGCCAATTTCTTGGTCAATTGAGGGGGTTTTGCGAATTGAATGACAGGTAGACTCTCGTTTTATCCAACTTAAAACAATTGCTTTTGAAATAACAGGATAGTAACGCAAAATTATGTATCATACCCACAAATTCAATTCAACAAAATCTATCATTAAATCGATTCAAAATCTATAATAGACCAAAACCTCAAGAATTCATAATGTTTCTAAAGTATAAGCAATGTCTTAGTCATCGATTCATTCTAAACCATAGTCCATTAGCATCTAGTACCTTTCAATTTTGGACTCCCAAAAAATGGGGAAACGTGCTGAGTTTGTACATTCCAGATATATCAACCAACCAAAACTTGTTGAATGGCGCCGATGAAGTTAATGCAAAACAATCTATAATAGCGTTAACAGAGTAAAATCTACAAAGTATAGAGCTTTTTTCCATTGATTCTCACTTCCTCTGCTACAGAAAAGTTACTACAGAACCGGGTTTTGAAAAACAACCCGAAAGCAAAAGCGGTGACAAACAAGGATATACGGGATCGGATCTACAAAACACTCTTCTACTACACTCTACTTCTACGTTACAGTCTCTACACATCATCACTCCGTTCTTTTTTCCTTTTTTTTTCTTTGAGAAACAGAGTAGGGCTGCCATGTGACTCTGTTTCCCCCATTTTTGTCGTCCACCTGCTCCCTCCGTCTTCCATCTTCAAGAAATCCTGCTATCGGTCTCTGTGCACGGAAAAGGGCAAAAAAAGTTGGGATCTTTTTTTCTTTTTGGGTTGGGTGGGTTCTCCGATAACCAGGTTTGGAAGCTTTTTCGGCTGCTTATATTCACAAACGAAACGAGCGATAAGCTATCCAGAGGGACAGCAGAGCACTCTGTTCTCCTTTCTTCCACAACTCCTCAGTAGTCATTTCGCTTCCTTCTCATATGGCTTCCCCGCCGTTCACAATCCATGGATGCCCTGAACAGAAGAAAGATAAATTCGTTTTCAGTTACCAACAATGATCGGAGATTTATGTTAATCGGAAAATAAATATATAAAAAAAAAAACGGAAAAACCAAGAAACTTACGGAGGGCTTGTTCGGCGGAGAATCTTCGGGAAGGGTCTCGACAGATCAACTTGCGGAGGAAGTCCTTGGCCTGCGACGAAACGTTTCGAAACACCTTGGGCGGGAACCTGAGGTTCCCCCGGATCACCGCCTCGAAGATCTCCTCCACCGTCTCCCCGTAAAACGGCGGGATCCCGGAGAGCATCACGTACAAAACGACGCCGGCGCTCCACACATCGACCTTGTCGCCGTAGTCCCTCCCCATCAGGACCTCGGGCGCCACGTAGTACGGCGTCCCGAAAACCCCGCTCAGCGACCCGCTGTCCACGACCCAGTCGGCCGACCCGAAGTCGCCCAGCTTGACCCGATTCCTGGAATCGAAGAGGACGTTGTCCGGCTTGATGTCGCGGTGGACGACGCCGAATCGGTGGCAGTGGGCGATGGCCTCGAGCAGCTGGCGCATGATTCCGGCCGATTTGGGCTCCGGGAGGCCGCCATTGCTCTTGATTACCTTGTCGTAGAGGGTGTAGGGCTCGCAGAGGTCGAGGATCAAGGTGAGGGAGTCGTCGGAGTCGAAGGCGTCGTGGATCTGGAGGATGTTTGGGTGCGGCGGAAGGAAGAGCATGACCTTGGGCTCCTTCTCGAGGCAGTCGCGGTCGGCTTGGTCGGCGAGGAGGGATTTGTCGATGGTCTTGCAGGCGAAGAAGGAGTTCTTCTTCGGAGAGAAGCACCGGGAGATCACGCCGAATCGGCCCCGGCCGATCTCTTCGCACACCTGGTACTTGTTCTTTAGCGTCTCGCACATCGCTAGAGTCTTCATCTTTTTCCTCTTCTTCTTGCTTCTTGTCGTCAATGGCGGAATTTGGGGGAGGATTTATTGGGGGAGCCTTTTGGGTGTATCAGTTAGGCTTCGCTGTTTGTTTTATAGAGAGAGAGAGAGAGAGAGGGAGAGGGGGAATAGCTGGGGGAATATTCCTTTGTTTTCTCGGGTTTCCTTTTTCTTTTCTGAAAATGAAGGGCAGAAGCGGAAGCCAGATGAAAATCACCACGTTTCGTTCGGTAGTAGGCCTGGGCCGCCTTGCTGTTCTGATTTTGCTGTGGACTGTTGGAATGGTAAAGTAGTAAATTAGTTACCCACTTCGTAAAAAGGAAACAAATGAAGGTAAACTAGTTATCCATCTTTTTTTACCATTCTGAAAAAGTTATTGAAATGTAATGTGGAATAATTGAATAAATCAAGTGAGGGATGGTTTGGAATGTAGTTAATTTTAGCTTCCATTTTTCAACGATTTTATTGATCATGATGTGTCGTCCGAACGAGTGATGCGTGTGGTTACATAGTACATGATACAGTATTCGGTTTGATTATTTTTTTTACACAGATTGAGGAGTGGAAGGCTAAGTCGCCTCTTTTGTTAGGGGTTGCTAATCATTGTAAGGATTTTTGGGTTGGCTGGGGGGCTCAACAGATAATCAACAATGTCCCTTGTTTTGCTCGTCTGATGGGGGCGATAAGCGTAGGGTATCATGCCATGAGTTTAATGGTGGTCCAAGATGGGGGAGAAGACTGTGTTGCTAGCTCGTGGCAATCAGTTAGTCGAAGCTGTAGGAATCTTTCCTTGTGGAGTTCATTAATCGCGTTAAAAGATGCTTTTCACTGGTGTTTGTCCAAGAAGATATGTTGATTCACTAAGGTTGTGAATTACAACGTGCTCGAGAAGTCTGGTAGGGATGCTCGTACCGGTGCCATCTTCGTGTAGTTAAGGCAGATGCAACAAGAGTTCCTTGAATTTGGTTTTTCATTTTGTTAGGTAGGTAGAGAATCAGTGGCGCATTTAGTGGTTAAAAAACCATTCTTTTATTTCCCGCCGACAGTCGGTTTGAAAGTATGTTTTGGTGATCAACTAGAAAACTATGGCTATTTTAGTTTAATTCAATTTATTTTATAGTCAGTTTTTTTCTAATTAACAGGTAATAAAACACAAATTACACATATTTTGTCACTCAAGTCTTTTTTCACATTTCATCTTTGACCATACAATATCATATATTTGCCGTGTGTTTTCTTATTCCGTTATGGCACTAGAACGACCTACCACTGAAGACACTAATAATAGTTGTACCATTGATGAGACTACAAAATGCTACTCAAATTGAACAAACCATGTATTATGGATCAAGGATTGCACATTGGACTGTGGATTGGCAGTTGGGAATATTATTTTTTTCCCCACCTGGAGAGTGGTAGTTGGGAATTAAAAAAACTTCAAATTTGTATAATCAAACCGATGATAATTGATAAGCCCACTGGTACTTATAAAACAATATAATAATCCACAGGATTCCTTAATCCACAATAGTAATAAAATAAAGAACTCAAGGTCTTTAGTAGTCATTCTCCTTTTTGCTTCCTTAGCAATTACGCCTAAGCAAATCCTAACATTAGACGGATGCGGTGAGCACGCCGTTAGTTGTTTAGGAAAGGGCTGCTTTTCCAGGGTTAAATTTATTTACTCGTATTGCCGTTAAAATTGGTAGTTGTTGTTTTATTATGAAAATATAAACGTTACATATGAATATGATCGATGGTTTGGTGTATAACGTCTAGATCACCTAAAAAGCTACTCGATGGTTGGAGATTCGGTTACGAAGATATTCAAATTATATGATGCATAATAACTTATGCATTTATGGTTTATGTAATTTAACTTATGGTTATTTTTTTGTGACATAAAATTATTAATTTCACTTTTTTCCCCATCAATTTCACTTATAATTAGAATCATGCATTTGACTCTATATATTGGAAATTTTAGGTATGCACAAATAACAACCACATGTCTCCTACCTGAGCGCATTTAAACTCCGCAAGAAAAATTACGTGGCTGAGATTTATTTCGAGGTTCAGTTCGAGTTTGCCACAGTTTCTTTTGCATGTAAGGTTTTTTTTTAAACAAATTGTATATAACGTGGAAGAGTGCAAATTGTTCACTACTTTGTACCTTGTTATTGCCATGCTTTTTAATCACATACTTACTCCCGCACCTGAGCAATTTTTCCAAAATGGTATAGCTTTTTAAAAAAGTTTTCACAATACCATACTCGTACAGAAGTTTTCCAAAGGAGTAGAGTTTGGCGTGGCTCATTTTAGACATAGCGATTAATAATGTATGCAGTTCGCGCCGGCTTGTAGCGATCAAGTGGCCATTTTGTTATCAACCCAAAGTTAGGTGACCCTTTTGGTAATTTACCCACAGCTTGGCCTACGGGTTAAATCCGCAAAGGTAGCTGCTGTCTTAATCCTCACACTACATAGAATTTTGTTAGTCACAATCCACTAGCCCAAATAAGCCTACAAAGACACCAGTATCACCTCAATCAAATTACAACCAGCTAGACAGCGCAACATCACGTAGTTGCATATCAATGGGACTGTGAAAACGAATAATCCACTGAATCTAGCTAGCAACGGATTTCGACTATAATAAGATAGGCTTGGTTTGTTAGTGGTTTTAAACTTCTTTACATCCATGACTGATGGATCATTGTGCCCCAAGTTTTGTTCTTAACACGGTGGATTGTGGCATTGGTATAGATGTAAATGCTGGAAATCATTGAAATTCGAAAGAAAATTTTGGGGAAGATAACTGTTAGGAACAGAACAACAAGAAGAACGAGGTTACCGAATCTGGAGCTCAGTCGCGGACTAGGTCGCTCTTTTTAAGACGTTCGCGACACTGCCTTCGATGCGCACGACAGACTATCAACCGGTCGTCTCCAGGATAAAACAACTCCTCTCACTACTCGGCGGTTTTGTGCGAAAACCGGAGCTCTCTGAACATTCTCTCTATTGTGTTTATGCTCGTTGTGATGTATTTAGAGGGGCTGGGGAGGCGGCTATTTATAGGAGCCGAACCCCTAAGATAAACCCGGAGGGATTATCCTTCGAATATTCCTTTTTTTAGTCGATTATCCTTGAAATATTCCTCAGAATAACCGATTAATAATTAATTATTAGATAATTAATTTCGTTCGGAATTTCTCCAAAAATATATATGTAGTCTCAAGTGAACCAACCAACCAACCAACCGGCCGGACAGACGGACGGCGCGCGCGTGGTGGTCCGTTAGGTCCTCCCTCTCCCACAAAAGTGGGTCACCCCAAGGGGCATGCCCTTAGGAGAGAGGCTCCTATCTTTATACCCATTTCACCAAGTAAAACTACCAATGTGGTAGTTTTTCCACTTGAGACTCTATAGCTTTCAAAGCTATTCATATTCATTTCCAACAATAACAAATTTGGAATCCTCCTCACATTGTCATATTAAATATTTTTATTATTTAGGAGGGTTGTTCTATTATACTCTAAAGTCTTGATGTTTCGAGGAATAAATTGAACTTGTACCATAACGTTAAAGGGACATGTTCAGTCTATATCATTATGGTAATGCTTGGTACTACATAAAATCATACCATGTGATATTGAGTGTACCATAGTGGTATGAATATATATGAGTGTATAATGGTTGAACTTGAATAAATGATAGTAGGAATATACATACTATTATCTGCCACATTCATCATTGTGTACCACTAGTTTATCACGTCTATACAAGGGTGATATGGAGTGGTACGTTTAGATCTGTATTTTTTTTTCCCAAAAATTTGTAGATCGAATAAATCACGACGAACGTGTTTAATCTGTGGAAAAAATTCAAAATTCGAGTTAAAAACGAAGGTGATACCAACCCACTCAAATCTAAGCGTACAGATCTATTTATGAAATAATACATAACCAAGGATTATGCGCCCCGCCCAACTATAGATTTTAACTTTATACTCGATTGAAAATGATCTAAAAAGATAAACCTTCTGCACAATCACTCCAACGATTTCTAATTCAAAATCCATATAACTTCAAAAACTAATGCACCTGTTTTCCATATCCATTGTGAACTACCTCAAGTACTTGAAGTACATTTGAACGTTTTTTAGTGGAAAATGTTGATTATATGATATTAGCTAATTATATATGTACTGAACCATTTGGAGCATGTTCTTTTAATTTTTATTGATATTTTTAGAACCGAATCAAACTATGAACCGGAAAAAGTTAGCATTTTACTGTTTAGTGGATAACTATTATAAACCGTTAGTTAACCGTTCATGATCTATAACGTAACAGACATGTATAACACACTAATTTAAAAATAAATTTATTATTGACCATAAACAATTTTAAAATCATATAATCTATTACAAAAGTACCAAATAAATCATTTAAACCATCGCACAAAACAAATCATTATTTTTTAGTTGAAGTAAGAAGTTAAGGTGATAGTTGGTAATGGATCACGTAAAACCAACAAGGATGCTGTGAAATGAAGAAGTGGAATCATTATTTTTTAGTTGAAGTAAGAAGTTAAGGTGATAGTCGGTAATGGATCACGAAAAACCAACAAATATGCTATGAAATGAAGAAGTGGAAGTATAAATGAAATTAGTTAGGGCTGTTAGGGGTGCGGTTTCGGTTTTAACCGAACCGCAAACGCGGTTAACCGCAGCCGAGAAGCATTGGAAAACCACAACCGCCACCGACACCGATTGCCTTTTTGGTTAGCCGAAAACCGCCATCGACGGTTTCGGGTCGGTGTCGCGGTTAGCTGAAACCGACGGGATCGCGGAGCAGGGGAGGACGAAGGCAGGTGGTGCGACGATGGCGACGGTCGATGAAGGCGTGACAGTTGATGATTACTGGGACTGGGAGCAGGAGGACGAAGGCGCCGGTGGGGATGCCAGGCAGGGTGATGATGACGGCTGGCGGCGGGGAGCCGGAGAGGGTAAGGGTTTGGAACTCGGGAGGGAATCGGCGAGTGGGTTGTTTTGGGGAAAACCTGGCATGTTTGTGGGAAGAGACGAAATCGTGCATGGTATTGTCTTTGGCAACTGCGAAGCGGAGATTTGGAATCGGTAGCTGGGCAATGATTTCAACTTGTGCACGGCGGAGGTGGCGACTGACGAGGAACAATCGATTAACAGAGCTTCATTCTGCCTTGATTTCAATTGATATAGGAGAGAGAGGGGGATGGCGTGAGATTCAGAAAGGGTAGCTTGGATTGGATGTGTTGATTGCTCAATTTTAGGCATAGATTGTGAATTGGGAATGGCAGAAGAGGAGTTGAAACTTGAAAGTTGAGAGTGGAGGCGACAGAGGAAGAATCCACGATTGAGGATGGGGAAGGTAAGAGGCAACTCTGTTGGTGGAGGGTTGGTGGGTAATCTCGGTTGTAACGGTGCACCGATATATTTATCGGTTAGCAACCGACACCGATCAGTTAGCCAGTATTGACACGGCCCGATCCTTTTGAAAACCAAACCACAACTCAAACCAAAAATCAGTTACTCCGGAGCAACCCAAAACAGGTTTACAAGTCAAAACCAAAAACCAACAACCACAATGTTTAAGATTTTCAAGTGAAATGCCCTAAACACTTGGGCGACCTCAACCCAGAGCAACAAAACATAAACACAACCCTTGAGTTTCCCAGTATACTCATTAAGACATGAAACTAAAGACAAATATAATGAGAGGTCCCATCTCGTTACCCAGACCCAGTTGACATCTTCAGGTTAGCCGCGGCTGCTCTCTCGAGTAATCTCCTCTTGATGGACGCGTCCTCTTCCCTTCTCTGCACCTGGTGAGTGAGAAGGGGTCAGTCTCGTCGTTACTTCCTAAGGTCTTTGCCCTAGGCAACCTCCTTACTAAACACGTTATTAGGGGAATGCTTTCCTAGCATGAAAGCCGTTCTCGCTTTCTGCTCTTAAATAACCATTCTTATCAACTCATTTCAACATTAACTCATAAAAGTTCTCGACCTCTATCCTTATCTCAACACAAACACTAGGACCACCGCGTTACGTCTCGCCGTTCTGTGTCCTACCCTAGTATGCCAACTGCGTTACGTCTCTCCGTCCGGTTGCATACCCAAACTCGGCAATGGCACTACGTTACGTCTCGCCGTCCAGTCCATGCCCGTCAACTATTGCGTTACGTCTCGCCGTCCAGTAGTGACCCAACCGCCCAGGGGTTCCTCATACCATCAATCCAACTCTTACAATCATACATCCATACATTCATACATAGCACAACGCGTGCCTCCAGACTTACAGGCGGTGGGATGCCTCACACACATATCGCGCATTACTCAAAATCAACTCATAATAACTTGAAACAACAGGCGTAAATTAAAAGACCTACGACAGAGATTTTACCCCCTTTACACTCACCTCGAAAAGATGACTCCTCAATTCCTTCCTCGAAGAAACCCCTCCTTAGCCGGATTATCTTGGGGAAACCTATTAATAAGAATTCATTTTCTTATACGACCTTTCTTGATTTCAACATCCTTTTGAACCACTAGAACATTCTCTCCTCAAACTCCAGTCCTTGAACCTCATTCCAATGATCCTTTAACCCTCATTAAAATTTTCTAGAATTAATCCCTTAAAAAATGACCATTTTCTTAATTATTTTAGTCTTGGACGAATTTTTCAACTAACTAGAACCTTCTTAAAAATTCGGATAATAATGTCCCCATGTCAATCTTGAGCCCCTATACCCTGGAGAATTATCAAACCCTTAAAAACCCTTTGGAAGAATTTTTATTTAATTAAAACGAATATTAGAACAATTTCTAAAAATAGAAATACATCTTCAAAAATCATCAAATTAAATCAAAACCATCTTCTAGACCTCCCTCAATTTATAAAATTGTCAAACTCAGGAAAACAACAACAACAGAGACTCGAAACAATTAAACATTCAAAAATACGTTTCTGGAAATTCCCAACAGCTTTAGTGACCACTATAAATATGTCACTAAAAGCCTGAACGTCTGTTGCTAAAACCTCAGAATTGCACCCTCACGAAATATCTCCAAATTAATCGACCTAAATCAAAGGGATCGAGTTCCCTTACCTCTAGAACGTGCCTAGGTCTAGGTTGAATGACCCGGGACGTTGATCTCCTCGCTGATCGAACACTCAACGTCACCGCTAATTAAAATCGAGCTTCGAATTAGTCTACCGATAAATCGCGTTTTGAACTCGCGAAACGGGTTCGTGATCCTTACCTAGAACACGAAAGGGATGGTAAATCGGGACAGGAATCGGGAAGGCCGGTGTCCCCTTTCTTTTTCTTCTTCTTCCTCCGCGCGTTGGGGAAAACCTGATGGAGAGAGGGTTTTGTGGCGGCATGCTGGTTTTGGGAAAAACCCAATTGGAGAGGCGGTTGAGATTTTTATTAAGGGGAGAGGGGGTCTGCTGCGCCACTTCATTAGTGAGGGTTGGGCCGCCCCCCCGCGGCCTCTTGTATATTTTTTTTTATAATTAAAGTTATAATAATAATATAATAATATTATTATTATAATATTATTATTCTTAATTCGCGATTGTAACTCTTTGTACGTAACCGTCGATCCAACCGATCACGTATTAAGGTCGAACCTAAATCTAAATTATGGGTGTGTTACATTTCTACCACTCTTACAAAAATTTCATCCCCGAAATTTGGAACCGGAAAGATAATTGATAACGATGTAATTGCACATATTTGCGCCCCTAGTTCTCATCCGTTTGAGGGGCATAGTCGTGTATTGTGGCCTATTTTACGCCGGGTTGTGCTATTTTGTCATGTTTCAGGTCCCAGGTGTCAAAGGGAAGGCTAAGCGCGAGTTTCGGGGCATTCGGATGTCATTTCGGTGAGCTGGAGCCAAAACACGGGCACACCTAAGGCATTACACGGCCGTGTACTGATGGCCGTGCTTTTTATGCCGAGAGCAAATTCGGTTTGGCAATTTCAGTTGCAAACACGGGCACCAAAGCACGGCCTTGTTCACCAAAGCACGGCCGTGTCCAACGCGAAGCACGGCCGTGTTTCTCCCAACTGCTGGCCGTGTAATTAAGCCTGGCCGAGGCACGGGCGGACTCAGGCAAAGCACAGCCGTGTCCTCGATCGTGCTTTGGCCACTGATGCTTTTAAGCAGATTTTCAGCCACAAGTCAAGGGGATTCGAGTTTTAGAGAGAGAGATCAGTTCCTAGAGAGAGAAAGCGACGAACAAGAGTCTCCAAGTGCCCTAGATTGATCTTCAACACCATTGGAGGCCATCTTGAGCTTGGAGAAGTGCCGATCAACGTACAGAAGCAGGAATCCATCCTTCACAGTATGAATTCCGCGTCTGATTCTGCTTTTGCTTTCTTCTCCATGGTGTAGTTCTCTCATTCATCTGGGTATGGAGAACCCTAGATTTGTATGTTAGGTTTGATTGTATGAACCCAAGTACTAATTCTATGATTGATTATATTCGATTGAGGTTTGAATGATTGAATGAGTTGAATCCTGATCAAATTCCTGTTGTTTCTGCTTTAACCTAGAATGAGAATATCTGCCTAGGTTAATAGAGTATCCTTGATTGAAGGTAGGGAGTTGGTGATTTTAGTCGAGGAGCCAACTCACTATTCTGTACCGGATTTACTCCGGTAGTGGAGGTTTTGTTCTTAGGGCCTCAATCTGTTTACTCCGGTGGAGGTTAGTCGCCCGCTAGAGATTCAGATTGAGAGGGTCTGAAGACCTTTAGTCGAGACTTCAGGCTGTTTAAGAACCTTCCGTAGTATAACTATCATAGAAACTGAACTTGGTAATTACAATCTGGCTTAACTGCAGTCTAGGGGGAACCATATCCGGGTGACCTCTTTAACCTGAATACAACTGTTTACTTGCTTTGTTGGTTTGATAGTTTAGACTTGCATTCCAGTTTCATTGCTAGATAACAAGAATTCACTGAGTAGTCATCATATCTAGGACCCGGGTTGATAATTAAACCCAAACCCGCTATACTACGCTTTAGGAAGTGGTTTCACTTGGCCAATTCCTGGAGTGACAGTAGAGTCGAGTCAATAATTACTTGGTATAAAACTTTTGGTGTTTGAATAAAACTTCACAAGCAAGAATATAACATTTCCCTCCCCCTTAATAAAATTTCGACCTTGAAATTTTGGTCCGAACTAATTAATAGGTTTGGTACCGAGTACTAGAACTGAAAGTGCGTCTTTCGAAGAAAACAATCTACTAGCGGTCTATGCTTAAAGCAAATACTCCTCCACAGTCTCCCCATTTCTTCACATGATCACATCAATGTGCTTGCTCGTCCCCTCCATCGTCACCACGATCTCCCTCTATCCCTCTGACACGCAACGACACAACACCTAACAATGGCCAAGTGTAACCAATGAAAGGTACTGCTATATAGTGGCACAAGTAATAAATATCGAATCCACGGGTCTCTAGAGTTACTATTACTCAGTTTCAGTTCATTATCTAGCAAACTAGATTAAGGATTGATTTACTAAACTACTCTACTAATTACAAGTTGGGAACTCACTTAGGTATGATTCCCCCTACTGTTGATTAAATTGCGAAAGATCCTAAATTAGCTTGGAATCTCTTAAGCTGACCAAGCCCTCTTAGACAGAATACCCGGCAGGCGACTAGCCTTCACCGGGATAGACTGCTAAGGCGATTCACACAGATCTCCACTACTGGAATGAATTCCAGTACAAAGCAGTAAATTGATTGACTCTCGCACAACCAATTCACCACTATCAATCAAGGAAGCTCTCTTACCCTAATCAGATTCTATCTGTTATAGGTTAAAGCAGAAATCAAGAGAAGATGATCAGGCTTCAATTGACTCTATAAATCATGCCACAATCAATTATAATCAAACAATATAGCATCCAAAACTTCATACAAGAAAGATCCTAACACATGGAACTAGGGTTCCTCAAAACATAAGTGAAGGGAAGTTACTCCATAGAGAAGAGAGAGACTGCAGAAATCTGATCTAGATCTTCAATCTCCATCTCAAAGCTTGATTCCCGAGCTCCAATGGCGAAGAAATCCTCCAAAATAGCTCCAAGAATGTTCCCAAGTCGCTCTCTCTCTAGGGTTCGTCCCTTGGGTGTTCGGGAACCAAAACCTAGCTCTCCTCTCATTTTGCTCTAAATTTGACTTAAAACCAAAGATTCCCGACTCACACGGCCAGGCCACACGGCCGTGTGACTTTCCCAGATGCCAGTGTGAGTGTCCAAACGCGGTGTTTCGATTAGTGGGCAACCAGGCAAGCAGCACGGGCAGA